CCTGCTGCTGACCAACTTTATGGAGATCCAGATTTCATTTTCCAACAGGACTTGGCACCTGCACACAGTGCCAAAGCTACAAGTACCTGGTTTAAGGATCATGGTATCCCTGTTCTTTATTGGCCAGCAAACTCCCCTGACCTTAACCTCATAGAAAATCTATGGGGTATTGTGAAGAGGAAGATGTGATACGTCAGACCCAACAATTCAGAAGAGCTGAAGGCCACTATCAGAGCAACCTGGGCTCAACACCTGAGACACACTGATCGACTCCATGTCACGCCACATTGCTGCAGTAATCCAGGCAAAAGGAGCCCCAACTAAGTACTGAGTGCTGTACTCATACTTTTCATGTTCATTCTTTTCAGTTGGCTGACATTTCTAAAAAAAAATCCTTTTTTTTGTTTTTTTGTTTTTTGGTCTGAAGTAATATTCAATATGTGAGATGTCACTTTTTGAATGGAATTACTGAAATAAATCAGCTTTTTCATGATATTCTAATTTTATGACCAGCACCTGTATAAATACATTGGTGGGATGAAGGAGACTTAAAGCACCTGTGACCCGCGCTTCTACCTGAAATCATCAAGGAGTACAGATGCATGGGGTGTTCATGAGCAATAATCTGGGCTGGACCAGGAAGTCCAAAGCTGTCTGTGAGAAGGGACAGAGCCGCCTCCGTTTTCTGAGGAGGATGAGGTTGTTCATCGTCTGCAGGGCAATGCTGAGGATGTTCTACAAGTCTGTGGTGGCCATTCCTTTCGTGTTGGTGCAGCGGGCTGAAGGTTGCAGATGTGAACGTAATAAATAAACATTCAAAGGTCAGTGACGTTGTGGGGGCGGAGCTAGAGATCTCAGACACGTGCAGGAGCTCCTTCAGCCAGAGACTGAACCGAGATGCTCCATAGAGAAACGCAGGAAGTCCTTCCTACCAGCGGACATGAGACTGTTTCATGTCGTCCTGAACATTTCAGACTCTCACATTCAATAACCCTCTGCTGTACAATATCACAACTGAAATAAACTTTGTTTACTTTCTATATCTTCTTCACGTCACTTCGTAAAATGTCCAGTTTTGCTGTTTTGTTGCTTCACATGTTCTGCTTCATAGAGAATCTTGTTCTTTGCGTTATTGATTATAACGATTTTATAGACTGATTTGGCACTACAATTTGTTTTTTTCCTCTTTTAAATTCAAATCTTTGTTTGCAGGAGTACGTCTTTAGATGTGGAGCCCATCTACACCTTCAGAGCCCACAGGTAAAAAAAGTTAAACGATCCCACGAGTCGAGGTTTTTTAGATTTTAAATGTAATGTTTGATCTTTTACACGTTTGTGTTCATAAAGGGGGGCTGTGCTGAGCGTGGTCATGAGCAGTACGGGGGAGCAGTGCTTCAGCGGAGGGGTTGATGGCACCATCCAGTGTTGGAACACGCCCAACCCCAACATCGATCCTTACGACTCCTACGGTAACTTAGCGAGTGTTTTTTATCGAGTCTGACGATGTTTGAAGTCGAATCGTTAAGTGACTCGAGTTTATTCTCCGTGGCAGACTCGTCGGCGCTGCGCGGAGAGCTGAGCGGACACACGGACTCGGTTTGGGGTTTGGTGTACAGCAGCACGCATCAGCGCCTCCTCTCCTGCTCTGCGGACGGCACCGTGAGACTGTGGGACGCCAACACCACCTCCCCCGCCCTCGCAGTATTCAACGAAAACAAACGTACGGAAATGGTCAAAATATTCAGTTTTATTGTGAACGGGAACCCAGTTCTTCCACACGAGTATTATTTTGTTCTGAGAGAAGACTTGAAGCTTTTAATTTAAAGAACCTTTTCCCCGCTGTGATGAAGTTTGAGGCTTCTAGATAATGAAACAAACGTTCACACTAAATTTAGACATTTTGACTTCGTAAACGGCTTAAAACTCCACTGATTGTTGAAAATTTAAGTTTGAAAAAGTGGGGATTGTGTAAGAACCCTGATTTTAGTTGACCTTTTTCCTATTTTTTAAATTAAGGAATTAACTGGAGTTGGTCTTTTGTTTTTCTGTACCAGAGCTGGGCATTCCCTCCTCTGTAGACCTGGTGTGCAGTGAACCAGCCCATCTGGTCACATCTTTCACAAATGGCCAGATCGGCCTCTTCAACATGGAGACCCGCCAACTCGTCCTCAGTCTGGAATCTGGTTTGGAGCCAGGTGAGTCTGGAGCTGTACTGAGCTGAGCTGAAATGTTATTAACTATAAAAACTTAAAAAAAAAAAAAACTGAAAGGGAAAAAATCAAACCATCCTTCCTACTATTGCCTCTGGTTCCGTGTCAGATGAGACAACTTTAAAAATGTCACTAGAACCTGATTTATGTTTGGACTGGTTTTGTCCTGTTGAGCTCTCTGAATTGTCAAAAATAATAGCTTCATCCAAACTATTCACATGTCTCAGTAGATGTAGATCCCATCCCAACAGACTATTTAAAGACGTATTTCCCTTAATTAATAACCACGTCTTGAATCTGCTTAATCTGTCTCTAATAAATGGTTACGTACCACAGAGCTTTAAGATTGCTGTAATTAAACCTTTACTTCACCTTGACTCGGATCCTAGCCAATTATAGACCTATTTAATCTAACTTTCATCTAAAAAATTCTAGACATGGTGCTATATAAATAAACTGAATTGAAATTTAATTGAAAACACAGTTGAAGCATCATTAAGACCTAAATCTTGTAAACTTTTTTTTTGTTTTTTGTAAGCAGACGTTCCCTGTCAGATCAACAAAGTCCTCAGCCACCCCACCCTCCCCGTCACCATCACGGCTCAGGAGGACCGACACATCAAGTTCTTCGACAACAACAGCGGGAAGCTGATTCACTCCATGGTGGCCCACCTGGACGCTGTCACCAGCTTAGCTGTGGACCCGAACGGACTTTATCTCATGTCAGGCAGTGAGTATTTGTCCAGCAGCTATCGTGGTGCAATACATAGATTAAATCTTGGCTTAACTAAGGCTTTGGATTATCTTGATGTTTGCCAAGATGACAACCTAAACGGGTCGAGGATGAAGCTGTTAAAGCAGCCATCTTTAGTCAAAACGAAGCGTAAAGTTCAGAATTTAATATTTTTTATCACTAAGGGCGTAACCAGATCTCCTGCCACAATATTTAAACATCACGGGACTCACAGAGTTGGAAATTGTCTCAAGTTGCAGTCTGCATGACTTTGGTGAAATTATCTTTGAAGATGTGCATAAGAGACACCCCCTGTCCATGCACATTTTGTTCAAAAACACAATGAACTTGGTGCCTGAACGCAGCGATTTACCAGCTTTAAGATGAACTTGGGTTAATTTGTCTGATTAAACTGACTGTGGGGAGCAGCCTTCCCACCACCTCAGACCTCTACACTTCACAATGCAGGGGGAAGGCGCTCCGCATCATGAAGGACTCCACTCATCCTGCACACAGTCTGTTCCAGCCCCTCCCCACAAGCAGGCGGCTGAAGAGCATTCAGAGCAAAACCACCAGGCTCAGAAACAGTTTCTTCCCTGCAGCTGTCAGACTGATGAACTCGAGCTGCACTTAATTCAGTTTCATCTTACTTTTTTTTTAACTTTATTTATTACATATATATTTATTTATTTATTTACAAGTATACTCGTTTGTATTTATTTATTTATTAAGTTTTAGGCTTCTTGATCTGGGACCTGAGTCCGAATTTTGTACCATAAACATGCAAATGTGAGCTGGTATGACAATAAAAAAAATCCTTGAATCCTTGATTTGAGAGGGACAAGAATCAAACTTTAATAAGAAGAGACACAAAATCTGACTGCGCCTCCACAGAATGGTTTAATCATCTCTGTTTACCGGTGTGAGCAAATTACTTCGTCGTGACAATAATTTGTAAAAATCATACAAAAGGAGTTTCACTCTAATGTCCTCTTCAGTCAGTCCTGAGAGTTATCACAGCTACAGAGTGTCTGATTTAATTTCTATTCTTTATTTATTTATTTATTTTACTTATAAGTTGAAGTGGAAGTGGGTAAGTTTGGATATAAATTGGTTTGTGGCTGTTTTGATGATTTTAAATAAAATGTTTTCATTAGAAATCAGTTTAAAACTCCCGGTGATTAAAAAATAAAGACAGGAAATCAATAACTGTGTATATTTATATATATATTTAATCGGTAAATTGTTCTGACTGATAAGATGTCTGGAGAAAAGTTATGTTCATATTCCTGCATGTTAGAGAAATATTGATAAACAGATCGGTTATTTGTTTTGGTCTCTTGTGAAAATGAGTTGGGCCTGTTGAGTTCACACGGCGTTAACGAGACTTTAAAGGTTCTGTTTGTTGACGCGAGACGTCTGGAGACTCGTGAGTAAGCAGACAGGAGAGATGTCGGTCAGTTGGATGTTCCCAGACGATCTTTGTAGAAACGTGCAGGAAACCAGAAACTCAGAAAAGGCTCCGGCACGCTGCCGGACTTCACTCTTGATTCGTGGTTTTCACCTGATGTTTCATCAGAGCAGGAACAGTGAATAAATCTGCCGTTTCTTGTGAACAGGTCACGACTGCTCCATCCGGCTGTGGAACCTGGAGAGTAAAACCTGCATCCAGGAGTTCACGGCTCACAGGAAGAAGTTCGAGGAGTCCATTCACGACGTGGCGTTCCACCCGTCCAAATGCTACATCGCCAGCGCCGGGGCGGACGCTCTCGCAAAGGTGTTTGTATGACGTGGAGCTACATGTGCCTGCCCCCCTCCCCCACATGCCTCGCTCTCTGTCTCCCGTGATCAGGGACCAATAGAGACTCAGCAGGGGACGAACTGTCAGGCAGGGGTCCAGTCCCACTTCTCGCAGCCCACTCCTGTCAGACCTGCAGACTTTGTAGCCTCCAGCCTTCAACAGGCTGTGGCTCGTCTTTGAGAGGATTGGTGGGGGGGGTCGGTCAGGAGGAGAACTGCTCTCTGGTCCCCCACCCACCATCCAGGCAGGCCTGGGTGTGATGGGCCACAGCGCCCCTGCAGACAGACTAAAACCTCCACAGAATGGAGCCTCAGGACAAGTTAGTGAGGAGTGCCCCCCCCCCTCTTCGTCTTCTTGCTTATCCAAGTTCCCCTCAGACTCTCGACCTTCGACCTCTTAGAAAAACCAAGTCCAGCCCCCACTTTTCTCCAAGTCAGGTTGTGTTTCAGGGCTCAGAAGGATGGAGCCTCCAACTTCCTCCCCCCACCCCCCGACCCTGCTCCTGACCTGCCTTTTTTTTTTTAAGCCTCTGTCGACAAACGTGCCTTTGCTTTAAAAAGGTCTTTAAAATGTTCTTTTAACGAGCTCGTTGTGGGGAGGGGGGGAGGGAGGGTGGAGAATCAGAGCGGGGGTGTCGCATTTTTGTCCGTGCTAACATTAGATGTAAAATTACAAATGCTTATGATAAACAAAATATATATTCAGTCTTAAAATTTACTGTGCGACGTGAGTTTGGGTGCTTTTTTTTTTTTTTTGGCGAGTGTGGTTGGGGAAAATCAGTTTTGTGTGTTTCGGGGCAAAGCTGGTACAATAAGATACAGACATTAAATATATTGCTTGTTGGTTAGATTCAAGTAACTGTACACTTCAGAAGTAAGATTACAAACGTGTGTCCAAAGTAAACCATCTTGGTTCTATAATGAATAAATCAGACTAGCCGTCAGTTTTTAGAGTAACCAACAGATTTTGGCCAGTTTGCTCTTGTTTGAACTGAATGCAGTCTGTAGTTTTCTCCCCCAGCCGTGTGGACGCGCTCCGCTCCGATGTGATGTATCATGTCCTGATTTTTACAGTCGTCCCGTCGTGTTTAGCAGGAAATTAGTGCAGTACTTTAGGACTATCTGAAAAGGAGGTAACCCTTCAGCTTCGACGGGAGACAAACGTCCTGCGGTTCCAGTTTACTGTAAATTGAGGAGTTTAAAAGAAAAAAGAAGTTGTACGTGGAGTATAGCTTTACATGAGCCATTTTCTCAGTCACTGGTTTGTAAATGAAAGTATGTTCAAAATAAAACCTGCTGTAAAATGTTTCGAAGTGTTTCATACGACTCAAGTCATCCTGAAACTGCAGCTGTTTTTATCTGGGGGGGGAGTTTTGAACCGTTCCTCTGGATTGGTGCTTCAGTGTTGCAGAGCTCCATGTTCTGGTCCATCTACATGTCACCCCCACGCCTATGGTCATCAAATGGATCGTGACAGAAGGAGTTCCTGATCCATCCATCCATGTTCTGGAGTCGGGTCTCAGGGGCAGCGGCTTGCAAAGGGACGTTCAAACATCTCTTTCCACAGCCACCTCTTCTGGAAGGACTCAAAGGCGTTCCCAAACCAGCCAAGAGAGAGTCTCCAGCGTGTCCTGGGTCTTCCCCAAGGTCTCCTCCCAGTTGGACATGTCCAGAAAAACGTCCCTAGGGAGGCGTCCAGTTGCTTGAAGCACCTGACGGAGGAGGATCCTGGATACAAGCAGCTGGAATGGGCGACCTTCGCCTCGAAGAGTCCCCTGAGGGACTCCACTGATGAGGACGCCTTCTACTGGAAGTTTTCCAGGCACTAAATGGTAAACGGACTCTACTTTTGTAGATCATCTTTTTATCTTATCAAGATACTCAAAGCTCTTTCCAATCTGTACCCTCATTTACCCGTTCGTACAACACTCTGCTAGATCTCTGCAAAGACTAAGTGCTTTATCACATTCGTACACGGATGGGACACGCGTCGGAGGCAACGAGTCGTCGTGAAGGAGCCGTGAATTCATTTCAAACGAGAAGTCCAGTTGGTTTTCTGTTGAACCACCGAGGCTGTCGAGTCCAACAACATCTCTAAAGAACGCCTTAAAAAAAATCCAGAGAACTTCCTTTGATTCTTTTAATTTTCTTTATTTTATCAAAAAAAAAAGGCTAAAAAAACAAGATTATTTGAACAATATAAGCAAAAGGTTTTTAGTAAGTTTATGTACAAACAGGAAAGATGAATAAATCATAAATATTCTTAATGGAACTCCTTGAAATGTTAGGAGCCACTACTGAAATACAGAGAGTGATTTTTCTGTCACTCCGAGACACAAACGATCATTTCTCACACAAGTCCTTGTTTCAGAATGGGATTGACCTTTTTAACAACAGCACCGTAGTCTTTGACGTTAGTTTCTACAACGTCCTGATCAAATCACATTTAGGAGAATCTTTACAGAAATTAAAGACACGCCCCAAAAATATTAAGCTTATGAAGCGTTTTGAGACGAGACAATCAAAACGTTTCTCTGCAGGAAGTCTGTGTTTATCTTCTAGTAAAGATCGATTTGTTAAAGGTCTGCGTTTCATTTCAACTTAGTCTGCAAACGTATAAAATGTGTAAATGAGCGCATCTCGTTCCAGATGTGCAAACGTTTAAATACATTTTCACAAACGGGCAACCCAGATTTTTCACTCATCTGTAAAATAATGCACATTGGTTTTGCCAATGTTTATGAAACATACATTTAGAAACCATTTGTAAGGGTTGACCCATTGGCTCCATCAGTTTAACAGACTATAGGGATCTTTGTGACGCCTGGAACTGGCACCAGAACAACTCTGCTGGTTAATTTTATTTGTTTATACCCAAAATCCCCAGTTCTGTCTCCTTCCTTTGCAAATACATGGCCTTTCCTGCCAATCCAGGAACCCCCATCTGGGCAGCAGAGCAAGTAAATTTACGGAGTTCTGTTCAAAACATCCGAGGTGTTCCCTCCAACACCTCCGGCCTCAGTTCCTGGGCTGAGAGTTGAACTCCTGGCAGATGTTGTGGATGATCTTTGGTACGTATTTGTAAAGGTTGTCGAACTCGTCCACAAAGAAGGAGTGCTCCTTGTCGGGGTCGGTGGCGATGTACTCCAGCTCGTCCTGGGCGGCCCAGGCGATGCCGATGGAGTAGGCGATCACACCTGCATCAGAGGGAGGGACGGCGGGTTACAAACACGGACTCGACACGCGTGTGTGTTGCATCAAACAAACACATGGCACAACACTTTAATGTGGCCTGACCCACACCAGAGAACGTTTTAAGGGTTGGTAACACAAAGACTACACTTGTAATCATGGGAAAATAAAAGTCCACACTTGTCTGGAGGTCCCACCACAGTATTTCAATCAGATTCACGTCTGGACTTTGGATTCTTGCGGCATGTTGATTTCTTCCTTTTTGAGCTGTTCTGTTGTAGATTAGTTGCTTGTGTGTTTTGGATCGTTGTCCTATTGGACCCAGTTTGGTCCAGGTTTTAGCTGTTGGACTCCAGCATCCTTTAGTTGAGGATTTCATGGTAGGCTCAACAACTGCAAGGAGCCCAAACCATCAGCCCTCCACCACCGTGCTGACAGTATTAAGTGTTTGTGCTGACCCCCAGTTTACTTTAACCAAACATAGTTTGACATCTTTATTTTGGTCTCGAGTAGGGATGCACCGATGAATCGGCCCCGATTTCCTTAATTTTGGGAAATCGGAAATCAGCCGATACTTGCATGAGAAACCGATTTTACCGATTTTTGTTGTTGTTGTTTTAACAATTGTCTGAACTTCATTTATATTTCAGAGCACTACCTCGTGGCCAGTTAAAACAAGTTTATATTGTTTCTAGGATATTGTTCAAGGGTGTGTTTTTCAATAAAATAAGATTGGAAAATTGAATGTGCATTGCACAAAATTGGTATCGGGCAAAATCGGAATCGGCAGGTCAGTCTTTTTAGAAATCTGTGATCGGCCAGAAAACTACAATCGGTGCACCCCTAGTCTCGAGTCCAAAAAACTGGTTTGTCAAAAACTAAGGCCTTGTCCATACGAACACGTAGTTTTCCCAAAGCAACCTTTTTGTCATTTCAAACAGTGTCCTTGCAAACAGAGCACCGTTTCAAGGAAGGTCTTCTAAATGGAAACTTCAAAAATGACTCCAAATGCTGTAGTAACCATGCCAGGCCTGTGTGTGGCGCTGTAAATCTGCCAATAAAACACTAAAAACAGGAAACGAGGCGAGGAGCGTGCTCATTAAACGTAAACGCAACAAGAAGAGGGCTCGTTCACGTCATAGGTAAGATTAGAAGTTGTGACTATGACAGTTTTCTGAAGGTCGCGTTTCAGTCGTTGACACAAAAACTCAAGGGTGGTGATTCAAGATTTTTACCACTCTGGAACATGTTTTCAAAAATACAGTTACTATTTTGAGGCTTCTAAAACACTGTGTCCATGTGAACACAGGGCAACTTTTCCATAGATTTACAGTAGGCTTTGCTGCCATTTTCTTTTTAAGAGTAGTTTTTTCCCTACTGCAACTGTTAAAACAAGCCATACTTGTGCCATCATTTTCAAATTTTCCTGTCATTACCTCTAACTTTTAATCTGCTAACCGAAGCCTTTAGAGTCTGAGACAGAGCTCACTTCACTAAGCATTGCACAGTCTGACCTTTAGGGTGTCTGTTGATCCCTGGGAAGACTGGCAGCTGTCTTAAATGTTGTGAATAATCTTTCACTTTGTAGAAAGACGGACTGAATAGTTTGGAAATGACCTTTGACCCCTCCCAGATTGATGGGCAGCAACAGCTTATCTGAGGTCATTGCTGATGTCTTTCCGTCTTGGTGTTGCGTTAACGCACACCATCAGGGCGGCAAAAACAGCAGTTCCTAACGAATAGCTGTCATCGTCTTTGATTAACGTAGTTTCTAGAACCTGGTAAAAACCAGAAAATGATGTCCTTGGTTCTCACCTTGTCGTTGGACAGCCTCCGCAGGTGCCCTGACATCGTCATAGGAGCGCCCGTCCGTAATGACGATCATAATCTTGCGTTTGTTGGGTTTGGATTTGCTGAAGAGCTGCTCTGCTGCGTAGGTGATGGCAGCGCCGGTGCTGGTCCCGCCGCTCCAGTAGTTGATGCGTTTGATGGCGTTCAGCAGCTCTGCCTTGTCGTTGTACTGTCCGAACGCGAACTCCAGCCTCTGCTCATAGGTGTACTGCACGGCTCCGACCCGGGTATCCGTGTCTGAGATCTCAAACTCCCTCGTGACGTTAGCCACGAACTGGAGCACGGTGCGGAAGTTGCCGGTGCCTACGCTGCTGGAGCCGTCGATGACGAAGGCGATGTCGTTGGCGTTGAGGCACGTCTTGCTGCACACCAGGCGGTCAGTGTCACAGATCCGCTTCACCAGGGGCTGCACGGCCTTCCTCAGGGTAAACCAGCTGTTCACGGGAAGGGAGTAGAAGCCGTTTGTCCGACACACAGCCTGGGAGACAGAACAACACAGTCAGCATAATATTTCATGAACTACTGGATAGATCTTTATGAACCGTTCGGAGCCAACCCAGTTCAAGATGGCTCCCACAGCCAAATCCCCTTAAGAGTTTTACAAATAATGTGCTAAAATGTGGTGTGGGTGTAGCCGAAAGTCATTCCTAACCGACACCTCCTACGTTAACAGATCACATTATCATCAGGATTTGATTCTTCGACAGGCTCCGGGACAGTTACTCCACCTTGTCAACAAAGTTGGCCTCAACAAGGTTATGCTTTTCACTTTCGTCGGGCCCCTCAATGGTGACGAAGAAGATGTTGATGCCGGACTCCCGGGCGAGCCGAGACGCCTCCTCCACTTTGTCTGTGGGCCATCCGTCCACAAGGACCACAGCTACGTTTGGAGCTCCTCCTCGGTTCCCGTTGGCATCACTGAAGTACTGCTTGTTGATGTAGGAGAGGGCTTTTCCTGTCAGGACACCAGAGGGCCACAGAGACCGTTACCTCATGCAGTATTCACTTCATACTCTCTGATGTCACAAAAACCACTGAGGATGGAAGATCCTGTATCAAAATATCCAGCTCTTTTAATTTTTTTGTAATTTTTTTTATAACATTTCAAAAATGTTCACTTTAATTACTAAATATTTTTTCGCCATAGAACTACACTAGCGGCACGGTGGCACAGTTGGTAGAGCTGTTGCCTCTCAGTGAGACGGTTGCCAGTCCAAATCCCAGCCAGGGGCCTTTCTGGGTGGAGTTTGCATGTTCTCTCTGTGCATGCGTGGGTTTTCTCCGGGTACTCCGGTTTCCTCCCACAGACCAAAAACATGCATGTTAGGCTGATTGGTAACTCTAAATTGTCCCTAGGTGAGAGAGTGAATGGTTGTTTGTCCCTGTGTGTCCCTGTGATGGACTGGAGACCTGTCTAGGGTGTCCCCCGCCTCTCACTCTGTGACTGCTGGATATGAGCACCAGTGACCCCCGCGACCTGTAAAGGAAGAAGCGGGTAAAGAT